CAGTGGAGTAGAGCTGTGGCGCAGTGGGGGGGACGCAGCATGAGCACTCCCAGCATGCAGGGGGGCAGCCGGACAGACATCGAATCTTGGCAGGTCCAGGCCTCGAGTGGTCCCCCGCCCCAGGCTCAGCTCTCGAGCAACTGTCCCAGCAGGGCTGGGGGCAGCGAGAGCAGCATGGACCCCCAGGGAACAGCAGCCGAGCGTGGGGCCCGGGGCCCTGACCCGGCTGCAGTCACCTCCAGCCGTGCTGTGGGACTTAATCCGCTCCCCGCGGGGCTGGCCAGAGCCCACAGGCTGCAGTGCCGCCACTGGGGAGGGGGACGCCCCCAGGACCCTGCCCCCGGCCCAGCCAGGGTGTCGCAGCCGGCTGCAGGCTGGGAGCCGGGGAGGGGCCTGGCCAGCCTGGCTCTGCCCTCACCCACCTGCCCCTTGCCCACAGGGCTCCGGCCGATACGCCATCTACATCGCCAACTACGCCAATGGCAACCTGGGCCCCCACGCGCTGCTGGAGATGGACGTGGCCGCCAGCGACCCTGCTCGCGGCATCGTGGTGCTGACTGACGTCGCCGCCGAGGCCGGGGTCAACAAATACACAGGTCCTGGGCAGCCTGTGTGGGGCTGAGGCCTACGGCGCGGGGACGGGGTGCTTTGGGAGGGGCCCGTGGGGAGGGGCCTGTGGGGAGGGCCCCACGGGGACGGGGTGCTGCGGGAGGGGCCCGTGGGGAGGGGCCTGTGGGGAGGGCCCCACGGGGACGGGGTGCTGCGGGAGGGGCCCGTGGGGAGGCGCGGCGCGGGGCTACCCATAGAGCAGGTGGCATGCCTGGCACACAGGGTGCTGGGGCTGTCTCTGGGCTGGGTGACAGCACCCACCGCCCCGGTAGGGAGTCTGGGCTCCAAGGACGCCCCCTGGGCTGTCTTGCTCCATCTCCGACCCTTGCCCCGGGAGTGCCTGGTCTCCACAGCAAATCGCGTGGGCAGCTGGTTCGCAAGGATGGCGCCATGCGGGCAGCTGCCAGGGTTGCTCCGTGGGCATTGGGGACAGCGTCCGGGTGGATTTGCCCATGGCTGGCCCCTGCACTCACTGCCTGTCCCAGCCTGTCCCTGGGTACCTGGGAAGGCCTGGCTCCTGGGGGAGCAGCCAAGGGCAGGGTCCCCATCTCGATCTTTCCTATCCAGCTGGAGAGGGGCAGGGGCCAGGGGTTGGGCCCCCCAGAGCTGGGGTTGGCTGTCCCTTGCCCCAGACCTGCCAGAGCCTGGTTCACAGCCGCTCCGACCTCCTGTATCCCCCTGGCCCTGCCCAAGGGCCAAGCCTGCCGTGGGGAGCCAGCGGGAAAGGCCCTGAGTGTGGAGGGCCAGGGGAGATGGCAGGTGCTGAGGGTTCAAACGGGGTGTCACTGTCTGGAGGGGCAGACGCCCCAGACCAGTGGTGGGCTCTATTATTAGCTTTCACCAGGCCAGTAACAAATGTGGACTTTCAAAGTCCTACAACAGTCTTGCCGTGGAGTCCAGATGGTCCCCTTGGACTCCACAGCCTAGCGCACCCCCTTCCAGCCACACGGCCTCATAATGTACTCCCAAAACCACAAAGTTCAAGCCACTTCCAGTCCCAAGAGAGCAGTTGCTTCCCCCGATCTCAGCCCAGGGATAGCGTGGGAGCCGGTCCTGGAGCTGATTCCAGCGAGGAGATAGAGAGTTATCAACAGGCAAACAGTCACTCCGCCACTCCGAGGAGTTTGTCTGATCCCAAAGGTGGCAGAGCTGCAGGAATCTCCGCGCCGAGTGGCTTCCAGGGCTGACCCACGCCTGGCAGGGCTGGGATCTTTGCCCCTCGGGTGCAGACAGCGGGAAAGAGCCTCAGTTTCCCCTGGTCAGGGATATGTAGCCCCTGCGGCCCAGAGCCCAAGGGGACAGGGTGAGTTCTCGCGTAGGTCTCTGCTCCCTGGAGATCAAGAAATGCAGTGAACAGGGTGCCCTACAATGCCATGTTTGTTGCTGGGACCCCCTTGCGCGCGGGTCGAGCCTTCGGCATGCTGCTGGGGGAGTGGGACGACTGGGGACTTCCCCTTGTTATGGTGTATGTGAGTCTTACTGGTGAGCCTAGGTGAGTTTTACTGTTTTGCATGAATACGGTGGGTGCCTCAGTTTCCCTGTGTGCTGCACCAATGCCTCGGTGGGGGGAAGAGGGGTGTGTGACTTCGGCTGAGACCCTCTGGGGCAGGGGAAGCTGCTCCAGCTGCCTGTACATAGGCTATGGTCGGTGCCCTTTGTAACCTGAGACCCAGGAGGGGGATGCAACCAGGTGACTGTTTGCCCAGGAAGCGAGACAACGACCAGGAGGAGGAGAAACGGGGGTGGGGGTGTTGGAGGTGGGGTCGCTGGAAGCTGGCAGTCTGCTTGGGAGGACTGGATGAGGGGGGGTCCAGGTCGTCTGGCCCAAGACGGACTTGGCTGAAAGTCACTGATTTCTGTGCTAACAAGCTCTGGGGCCTGACCTGTGCCCTGCTGTCCCCAGGCGGCCGGGGGGTGGCGGTGGGCCCCATCCTGAGCACCAGCGCCTCGGACATATTCTGCGATAACGAGAATGGGCCCAACTTCCTCTTCCACAACCAGGGGGACGGCAGCTTCGTCGACGCAGCTGCCAGCGTCGGTGAGCGAGCGCAGGCGGGTGAGGGACCTGCAGCCGGCGGGGGGAGGGGCGGTGGCGTGGCCAGGGGCCAGGCCTGGCATTACAGGGGCCAGAGCACCCGAGCGATACCCACAGGGCCCGTGGGAGGCCGAGCTGGGGACGCCGAGCGTGGGTCTATCAGGGTCGGGGGTCAAGCGGCACTGACAGAATGGGACGGGGGGAACAGGGCAGCCGAGTTAGCCCCGCTGTCTCTGGGGGTGGCCGGCCGCATGCCACACAGAGCCCCCCGTGGCGCTCAGCCCAGGCGGAGACGGGGCTCCCTCTGCTGTGGGGCTGGGGGTGTCGCTGTCCTTTACCCCACTCCCAAACAGTCTCCTCTGCTGCCCTGCAGGCCTGGATGACCCCTACCAGCACGGCCGTGGCGTGGCCCTGGCCGACTTCAACCGTGACGGCAAAGTGGACATCGTCTACGGCAACTGGAATGGGCCCCACCGCCTCTACCTGCAGATGAGCGCCAGCGGGCGGGTCCGCTTCCGGGTGAGAGTGCGGCGCACACGCTGCCGAGGGGCACTGGGATCAGGGCCTCCAGCTTCCCCAGGCTTCCACACCCTCCCCGGGGGGCTTGCTGTCCCAGCTCTCCCTGCGGGGGGTCACTCACGGCCCATTCTGGGGAGCCCCGCGCCCAGCCAGGCTCTAGGGCGCCCCTGGTTCCAGCTCTCTTGGGCTGTGACCTCCGTGGTCCGACTCCCGGTGAGACCCGGCTCCTTCCAGCAGCCCCCTCTGAGCCCCCTCACCCGCCTCCCAGCCCTTCGATCTCCAGCTGGGGGGTGGCTCAGCCTCCCTGCGCAGAGGCGGGGAGATCTCTGTCCCCTGGGGCTTTGGGTATCAGTGTCCTGGGGACTGGACTTGCCATCGGCGTCTCAAATCTCCACTGATCTGGGGCCAGGCCCAGTCAGCCAGGCGATACAACCCTTGTCTCCGCCTGTCCTGAGAGCAAACAGTCCTGTCCCACCCACGGGGGAACAGCGCAGGGGAAACTGAGGCATGCAGGACTCATAAAGATATCCGTTGGCGCTGCCCACTGTGCTGCCCAGCCCCCGTCACTCTGTGGCCCTTATGCTTATAAGAAGCACATAGGATCTTTTTCAGGGGAAATGGAAACAGACCGCGTTTATTGGAAATACAACGGTTAGCATGTGCATTCAATCTCACACACACACACACACACACACACACACCGGCCAGGTTGATCACAGGTAGGGAGGAGCACGGTTAGCATGTGCATTCAATCACACACACACACACACACACACACACACACACACACACACACACACACACACACACACACACACACACACACACACACACACACAC